CTTCCTTCCTTCCTTCCTTCCTTCCTTCCTTCCTTCCTTCCTTCCTTCCTTTCTCTCTGCTCTCAATGTGGGGCTCGAACTCACAACCCCGAGATCAAGGGTCACAGGCTCTACTGACTAAGCCAGCCACGTGCCCCTATGACAACCCTGTTATTAACATTTTACCAGTAACTAAGACTCAGAGATGTTGAGTCCCTTGGCTAAAATCACACAGCAAATCCCAGGACAGAGCCTGCCCACACTCTCAACTCTGATCCTCTTTGACTTCAGGCAGGAAGTTCCTATAGCTGTCTAACCTGATTCTCATGGGCTAGGAGACTTATCCCCAGCTCAGGGCTCCCAGTGAGGAAGGATCACTCTTATCATCATCGTATAGTCCAGGATAGACAATACCTGTTTCATGGAGTCTTCCCACAGCTGAAATCTTCTCTGGCTTCTGCCCACCAAAGACCATAGAGATGAACTGGACACAGTAGATGCCAATGTCCAGCAGGGCACCACCAGCCTGGGCTCTGTCTATGGCCCGGGGTACATGGGTGAGGTCCTTCCCAAATTCTGCCCGAGCCACCCGGAGATCCCCCAGAATTCCCTGAGACACAGCCGACCTCAGAGCCTGTACAGCAGGAAAGAAGCAGGTCCAGATGGCCTGCACACCACAGAGGGGAGAAAGGACAGTGGAAAAGGAACGACGTCAGGACCCAGGAGTCAACCAATCCGTTCCTCTCCCTTCTGGGGAGGGAGTACTGCTGCTCTCCACTCTCCACGCAGGAGCCCTCCCCCTCCCTTCCACAGCCCTGCTCAGTCCCCAGGTTGTGTCCTGCCCCTGAGTCCCTCTGCCCTCTCCTCTCCTCTCCATTCCCATGGCCCCAACTCTGGCCTTAGTCCTTTCTTCTCTGGACTAGTCCCCCAGTCTCCCAATGTTTAGGGGCTCAATTGTGTTTCCACCAAATTCAGGTTGAGGTCCTAACCACCCATTCGCCCCCCAACCCCAGTGCCTCCCAGTGTGGAGATGGGGTTTTTAAAGAGGTAGTTAGGTTAAAATGAAGTCATCATAGCGGGCTCTAATCCAACAGGAAGAGATGAGGACAGTGACACAGAGGAAGGACCACCTGAAGACACAGGGAGAAGACAGTGATCTGGGAGCCAAGGCGGGAGGCCTTAGGAGAAACCAGCACTGCTGACACCTTGATCGCAGACTTCTAGCTTCCAGACGTAGGAGAAAATAAATATCTGTTGTTTAAGTCACCCAGTCTGTGGCGGTACTTTGTTATGGCATCCCTGGCAAACTAATACATGCGGTCTCCCCACTCCAGACCACCCTCCACGTGGCCCCAGAGGCAACTTTCCTTCTCCTAGAGTTGACCCTGTCTCAAATTACTTGTCCAAGATCACAGAGCTAGGAACTGGTGAGATGGAGTCTAGAGTCCTCTGATTCTAAAGCCTGTCCAAGGTCAAGTTCACACTAAATACATGAGACCTGCCCAGTCTTGTTTTAAGTCTTAACTCTGCTTTCCCCCTCAGGTCCATTTACCTGTGCAATGTATTTTCCCTTTAAGGCTCAGATCAGTCCCTACCTGTGGGAAACTTCCTTGACTATCCCCCTCACTGGGCTGATGCCTCTGTGTTCCGTCAACTGCCCAGTACTATATCTATGAAAGTTTGTGCAACTGGGCATTGTGATAGCCCATTTCTGTGACTGTAGCAGACCTTGAGCTTGTTGAAAACTGAGCCTGTGTCTTACCCATTATGAATCCCCAGTTCCTAGGATTGGATCTGGAACACAACTGGTGCCAATAAAAAACAAGGAAGCAATAAATTCAGAACTTTGGCACTGCCGAAGCACAGTGAGAACCAGAAGCACTGAGTAACCATAGTAAATCTTGACTATCTACTCCCTGGGCATAGAGAACTTTGCAGACTGGGAGCAATATTTGGCACAGGACAGCTAGCTAGGACATGGGGAAGTAAGAGGCAGCTGTTGAACTACTGGCAGAACCTACAGCAAGGTAGCACTTAAGAACCACAATACTCCTTAATGTGAAATAGCTTCTAGGGGGTCATTTGGCAGCCATTTCGTTTTGATTTTTATTTATTTTTTTTTTTAAAGAATTTATTTATGGACAGAGAGAGACACAGCAAGAGAGGGAACACAAACAGAGGGAGTGGGAGAGGGAGAAGCAGGCTTCCCGCTGAGCAGGGAGCCCTACGCGGGGCTCGATCCCAGCACCCTGGGATCATGACCTGAGCAGAAGGCGGACGCTTAACGATGAGCCATGCAGGCGCCTGGGCAGCCATTTTAATTACTGGCACTCTGCCAGCTGTCTGTCAGAGTTCCCCTATAGGTAGCCATGTCTGATAAGGGCAAAAGCAAAGGCAGGATGACCTTGAAAATTGCCCCGGTCCTTCTGACCACTATCCTTGGAAATCCACCCAAACTCTGCCTATTGCTATTCTGTGCCACTTTCACTCTGAAAAGCTGACAAAGTATCTTTCAGGCGGTCACGTTTGCTAAAGCAATGCCTCTCGATGTTGCTAGCAGATTTCACGGCATAGCTCAACTACATCCTGGAAAACACACCAACCCCACCCAGTTCACTCTGTGGCCATCTTTGTTCTTGACAAACCCTTCTGTTGTGTTCCCCCCCAAAAAACGTCCACTGGCAACCATGTTTAGTAATGGCAAGAAGCCCTACGTTGGAGGTTGGAAGGTCCCCTCCTCCCTCACCTCCATAAGAAAGAGGCCTCGGGATCGGGCTTCGGCAACCATTTCGCGAACTTCCGCAGCGTTCACGCCCATGGGCTTCTCGCACAGGACGGCCTTGCCCGCTGCCAGGCATAGCAACACTGCGGCCTTGTGCTGGGGGTGCTGGGTGCCAATGTAGGCCACCTCTAGATTGGAAGGTAGGAGGTCGAGAAATCAGAAGCCCCGCCCACCCCAGACCTCCGGGACCCGCCCACAACCTAGAGACCCCGCCCCCAGCATCCTAGGAACTCAGGTCCCACCAACCAAGGACAGTCGTGGGGAGCCTGTTTCTCCCTTTCCCTCTGCAGGTCCCGCTGCTTGTGCTCTCGTGCTCTCTCTCTCTCTCTCTAATAAATGATTAAATAAATAAATAAAAATCTTTAAAAAAAAAAAAAGCCTAAACGGGCTCACTTACAAATTCAGGCCCCTCCCAAACCGCGGAGGCCTTGTTTCTAAACGCAATTTCATACTAGACTGTGAATCCCAGACCAAAGCCGTTCCTACAGTTCTGCTTTCCAGCCGCCGATCCTTCCAGAAGCACACAGGGATTGGGCCATCCGGCAGAGCCTTGTTTATCCTACGGAGCAGGCTAGAGGCAGCGCCGCGGTGGCCTCGTCTGCCCTTGCCACTCACCCACATTCGGGTCTTTGGCCAGCTCCTCATAGGACCCATAGGCCTTGGGGACGTCATGTTTCCTCGCAAACTCCTTCGCCCGGCTCAGGTCTCGAGCCGCTACCGCCACCACCTGGAGGGACGCTAGGGTCAGACTTGTGGGGCTGGGGTAGGTGGATGGGAGGGACGTTGATGGAGAAAGCCCCAGGATAAGAAAAATTATGTCCCCCAGGACGGAGGCGAAGGGAAGGGGTCCTGGGGGAGGGCGTGACGGGGGCCCGACACGGGTCCTGAAAAAGAGAGATCTGGGGCAAGCGATTATTAAATCCCCTAATACCTAAATTTCTTCTCTTCGCGGTAGTTCAGAACAAAACCCTCCCAAACTTTAACGAAACCCGAGTTCACAGGACACAAGTGTGGAAAAAGGCTCCCTCCTCCCTCAGACCCAGGAGTCCCGGCTCCCGGGACTGCTCTTCCACAGGATTCCGGAGGGAGGGTAGACCTGGTGCTCGGAGCGAGGCAGCGTTCGCAGCACGGTCGTGAAGTCGCTGGAGATAAGGCCGACTGACACGATGCCCCAGCGAAGCGCCATCGCCAAAACCTGGGATCCCAAAGTCTTGCCACCTGCGCCTGGAAATTAAAGACCTGACGCCCCGCCCAGCCGGGGGCGTGGTGATTTTTCCGCCCCCATTGCAGCTACGCCACTTCTCATTGGCCAGTAGGCCTGCTTGTCCCTTCAGTTCAGTCCCAATGCAAAGGAGAAGGTTATTTAAATCTAGCATCCCCATCGGAAAGGCGCGCAGTTGGCTCCGCTTTTTGGGAGGGTGGGTGGGGGATGGGACCAGAAATACTTCATTCGGCGCCAACGGCGACTTCTAACCACGTCACTTTTCTTTTTTTTTAAATCTTTTTGAATCTTTACGCCCAACGGAGGGGTTGAAGTCCCCACCGGACCTCAAGAGTTGCATGCTCTACCCAGTAGCCAGCCAGGCCGCCCAGGAGGGGGTGGGGAGGTTTGCTTTCTTGTCACCCTCGGAGCTGGCCCCCCTCCTCCTTCCCCCAACTCCTCTCCTCCGAAAGCCGCCCACCCTTAGGAATTGTCCAGAGGGAGGGGCAAGATAGTAATAGCAAACATAATAATTACTAATATTTCTAGAATGCCTGTCGTGGCCAGGCCCCCAGCTCCGTGCTTGACTTTCCTCATTTCTAATTTCTCACCACAGATCTGCGAACTAGGTTCTCTTGCTCCCTGTTTACAGAGGGAGAAACCATCCCAGAGAGCCACCATGGTCATCTCACAGCCAGGATGTGAAGACTTGCAAATTGGCTGCTTCCAAAGAGCATGGTTTTAGAAACCAGACTGTTCTGCTTCTTAAAAGTGCTGGTGCCAGGCTGACTGGTTCCCAGTCCCTCCTTGCCACTGCCTGGCTGTATTGCTTTGCACAAAGGGTTTCCCTGTCAGAGCCTCCCTCACCTTCCTATTCTAGAAAACCGAGGTCACATGGCATCTACCTGTTTAAGAGGATTAACTGAGGTCCAGAACCTATGATGTAAAATATAGCAAATGATTGTTTTCTAAGTCAGTTGGCAAAGGGCTGGCCAACTTTACCCACAGCAAATCTGTGCACTTCTCTTCCCTTGTAGACATTCAGTTAAGATCTGATTTTCAAGGGCACCTGGGTGGCTCAGTTGGCTAAATGGCTGCCTTTCACTCAGGTCATGATCTCAGAGTCCTGGGATCCAGCCCAGCATTGGGGCAGCAGGGAACCCGCTTCTCCCTCTCCCTCTGCCCCTACACCTTGCTTGTGCGCTCTCTCAAATAAATAAAATCTTTATAAAAAAGGTCTGAGTTTCACTCACAGAGCTTCCAGGTTCACACAAACTGCTGAATAAAAATATTAAGGGGTTGCGATGAGGACACAATATCACTGCTGTGAAGGAAAAGAAAAAAAGATGGGGAAGATAATCTTTGAAACATTAGTTCACCATCTTCCCAGGTTGCCACCTTCCTGAAAAAAGCAACTTTCCCTTTCCCACCATCATTTGTCTACCGAGTATTGATTTTCCAATGGCAAGTAGCAGGTTCTCTGCCTGGTAAGAGTAGTGATAAAGAACAGACCAGCAGTGTCCAGGAGTTAAGGTTCGGCAGAGTGCTGTTATTAAGGGGTAACAGGCATGAGTTTCCGTGGATGGTTGAAACAGTTCTGTATCCTGAATGTGGCGATGGATACTCAAATCTTCACATTGGATAAAGTCTCACAGAACTGTATACTAGAAATTTTTAAGGTGCATGAAAATCTGAGTAAATGCTGGTGAAATCCAAATCAGGTCTGTACCGGATTAAATAATGTAGCAATGTCAATTCCTGGTTTTGACAATGCACTATATTTACCTAAGATATCGTCATGGGGTGGGCTGGCGGGGGGCAGGGGGAAGCTAGGTGTAGGGTACAAAGGACCTCTCTGTACTACTTATGTAAGTTCTTAAACAGTTTCAGGATAAAATGTTATGACTTAAAATTGTTGGCAGTGAGTACGTGTACCCAGAGAAATCATTTTGCAATATCCGATAAAGTAGAAAAGGAGGTTGTCTCATGATCCAGCGATTTCTATTGTGGGTAGAAGATACATACCCTTGAGAAACTCTCAGATGTGTGCCTGGGAGGACATATGTAAGAACATTTATTGCAACATTGGCTGTGATAGCTCAAAATCGGGAAGAGCCATCAGTAGAAAAACTCGTGAACAAACGGTGGCAAATTCTAGCAATAGGATACCACATAGCAAGGAAAATGGATGAACTAATTCCACACTGTTTATACACGGAATCTCAAAAACTTAAACTTCAGTGGGAAAAAAAACAACAACAACAACTCAAGTGACACCACCGGGATATAGTGCACACACTGAACTGTGATGGCTGTGTTTAATTTAATTCGTAATCAAGTTAGGAAAATCACTGACCTGGGATGAGAATCCTGTGTGCAGAAGGTCTGACACTGAACTAGAGGTGGATCACCAGTGTTAAGCACATGATAGCATTTCTGGGACGTGGAGTGAGAGCCAAGGGATTAACGGAGGGCATAAGACGATGTAGAATGTACAGGTAGGGCAACAGTGAATATACAGGAACCCATTCTCTTGATGTCTGCTGGCAAGGGGTGCTTGGCTGGGCTCAGGTGGCCACACTGTGGGTCTGTAACCTGAGAAAGAGACCCACTTCTTAGCTCTTACTCTCTTTATGGAGACAAGCAAAACAATGGTGTTGGAAGTGTGGCAAATCCAGTCTGAGCTTGGGCACCAGCACTTTCTCCAGGACTTGCAGGAAACATCATGTGCAGACCTTGGAGGACACTGAAATCATGGCAAGAGGGGAAGACGCTGTGCAGCCAGCTCCTCGCCAGGAATTCCAGAAAGAGCCTCCAGGGTCATTCCACAGATAGTCCTCCTAGACGGAACACAGATATTTATTGAGCATCTAATTTGTTCTAGGTCCTGAGGACACATCAGAAATGAGACAGACACTTTCTGTGCCCTCATATCAGCTCTCAGCGCTTAGTTATGTTCTAAGAACTGAAAACAGGCCAGCATGGTTGAAGGAAAAAGATGGTGGGCCAGTAGGTGGAAGATGGGGCTGGGGAGGCAGGCAGGGGAGGAGTCATGAAGGGTTTGGAGAAGACACGGAAGGGTTTTCAGCAGGCGCAGCGGGAACAACAAAGATCTAATTTGGGCAGCTTCTGGTTTCAGCACCCACCACTGGCATGACTCGCATATTCATTGAGCAAAGATTTTTACTTTTGACTTGGTCATGTGCTGGATAATGCCCAGAGACGAACCTCACTCCACTCCCTGCCACCCTCTAGTGAGCGAAAGAGACACAAGCTGTGGTAGGCACAGTGATGCCCCCCTCCCAAAGACGTCCACGCTCTCATCACCAGAACTCGTGACTATGCGACCTTCCATGGTCAAAGGGACTTTGCAGATATGATTGCTAAGGCCCTTGAGATGGAGAGATTATCCTGGATTTTGTGGTGGGCTCATTGCAATTACAAAAGTCCTTAGGGGAGGAAAGCAGGAAACTCAATCCAAGCAGATGGTTCAACAAAGGAGAGTGGGGGATTTGAAAATGCTGTGCTGCTGGTTTTGAAGCTGGAGGAAGGGGCCCTTAGCCTGGGAATGCGGGCGCTTCCAGAAGCTGGAAAAACAAGGAAACAGATTTTCCCCTCGAACCTCCAGGGTCCTGAGTTCCAGCCCCATGTTGGGCACAGATAGAGCTTACTTAAAAAAAGAAAAGAAGTCAAAGTCTGGAACCCAGCTT